CACTGAGAGGCATTATTAAGAGTTCAAGGGGACATTCTAGCATGACTGGGGCTTGCTGAGGTCTCATAGTCACCTAGAGAGGCCCAGGGATGCTCCACTGTTGAGCCAAGGTCCTTCTCAAGCACAGAAAGCTGCCTTATAATGAGCCAGATCATTGGCCCATCTTGTTCATTAGTGTCAACACTGACTGACAGTGTCTCTCCAAGGTTTCAGACAGCGAGCATTCCCAACCTGACCTGGAGACACCAGGGATTGTGAAATATACTCGGAGTCGAGAGTGGATTTCATGCTCTTTATTCAGCTCAGAGCAGTGAGGAGAAATGGAAGTTCCCCCAGAATGTCTGCTTTATATACATTATTTACACAATGGGCCCCACGTGAGTGGCTAATTCCGGGATTCACCTGTAGGCCAATCAGGTTGCGGATTCACTTCCACCTGGAGCTGGATTGGGTGGCTCCTGTGGACCAATCAGACTGCTGCATTCTGGACCCTATTGTTCTTTGACCAATCAGACTGCTGCATTCTGAATCCTAGTGTTCTAGGACCAATCAGACTGCTGCCTTTTGGATCCTATTCAACTCAGTACGTAACAGATTGGAACTGGCAGCCCCTTGGAAAATATGGAGCAACAATCCAATTATTTGGATGGACAGCTCCCTTCGATGTTCAATACATCAATAAAAGGGACACATAGATCCTCAGAGTGTTCTTATTTTCCAGGGACAGTCCCGGATTTACAGAAGCCATCCCGGTTTCTGATTTGATCCCAGAAGGTCCTGATTTTCCTTAGGATGCCCCTATTTTCATCGGAGAAATGTTGGAGGTTATGGAGTTATTCTGAGTTCTGAGCAGAGGAGATAAGTAACTTTACAACCTCTAGAAGACAACTGAAGGCAGCCCTGTATAAGGAAGTTTTAAAATGTTTTATTAGGTTTTTACATATGTTGGGAGCCACCCAGAGTGGCTGGGGCAACCCAGTCAGTTGGGTGGGGTATAAATAAAAAAAATATTGTTATTGTGGGTTAAACCACAGAGCCTAGGACTTGCCGATCAGAAGATCGGTGGTTCGGATCCCCGTGACGGGGTGAGCTCCCATTGCTCGGTCCCAGCTCCTGCCAACCTAGCAGTTCGAAAGCTCGCCAAGAAGTGCAAGTAGATAAATAGGTACCACTCCAGCAGGAAGGTAAACGGCGTTTCCGTGCGCTGCTCTGGTTCACCAGAAGTGGCTTAGTCATGCTGGCCACATGACCTGGAAGCTGTACGCCGGCTCCCTTGGCCAATAAAGCGAGATGAGCACCGCAACCCGAGTCGGTCATGACTGGACCTAATGGTCAGGGGTCCCTTTAGCTTTACCTTTACTAGCTTTAACCTTTTGACTGCATTTTAGATGCAGTTCAATGACCATCTGATTTGCTTCCAGCATTTGGCTGAATCCTAGATCATTGAGTTTGTTGCTGTAGCTCAGAAGTTGGGGTACAACCTGTGGCACTTGGGTTTAACATTATATGTTATTATTATTATTGTATTCATATGCCATTGGCATAACAAAATGTCTTCTAAGCAGTTTACGACTATAAAATCAAGACATAATGAAAATGCACAATAACTTTGCATTGATGAAGATGATGATGAATAATTAAATTTGAATACCGCCCTTTACCCTCAAGTCTCAGGGCAGTTCACAGAATAAAATTACAAGGAATACAGCCCCTGAGAGAGAACAAGAGGTTCCCAGCCCCTGTTCTAGTTTCACATTTGGTGTTTGTTTTTATTGCTGCTTGCTGTCTTGAATAGTCCTATGGAAGCTGCTGTTTTAGGATACAGTGGTACCTCTGGTTACGTACTTAATTCGTTCCGGAGGTCCGTTCTTAACCTGAAACCTGTTCTTAACCTGAAGCACCACTTTAGCTAATGGGGCCTCCCTCTGCTGCTGCGTGATTTCTGTTCTCATCCTGAAGCAACGTTCTTAACCAGAGGTACTATTTCTGGGTTAGTGGAGTCTGTAACCTGAGGTGTATGTAACCTGAAGCGTATGTAACCCGAGGTACCACTGTACTGTGATTAGTATTGTGACTGACGTTATTGCAAGCCACTTTGATCGTGCTTTTTTGGGAGGAGTAGTGGAATAAAAAACGTTTAAGTGGCATGTTGCAGTGCTGTGTTTTGCACTAGTATTTACTGAATGCATAAACATAATAAGGTGGGGAAGAGAAAGGGTTACTGTCCAAAATTTCTCAGAAACTGCAATGGTCCTCAGATCTAACTGCTTAAATAAGATGTTTGTCGTCACTTGAATGCCTTACTAGTCAATTGTTCTGGCTGCTCCCATGGTGGAAAATGTAGCCATATTGCAATTGTATACAAAAAAATGGCCCTCAGTTAACTTTCTTGTGCTGGGATTTGGTATGTGTGTACATAGGTGTGTTATATACGGTAACCCAACAAATTGCTGGATAACTGGAATCATTGGAAGTAGAAGTATATTTAAGACTATGAACAGCACAATCCTATATAATCTCCTCAGTGTGCTTTAGCCCTATATACTGTATTTACTCGAATCTAATACTCACTTTTTTTGGCCAAATTATGTTGTGAAAATTGAGGTGCGCATTAGATTCGATGGCGCATTTACATTCGCCAGCAAATACTTTTTTTGGCTTCAAGGTTCTGAAAATTGAGGTGCACATTAGATTCGATGTCACATTAGACCCGAGTAAATACGGTATTTATTTGGTCATTTAAAAAACAAACAAACCCTGCCTTGCCATATTTCCCAAAGAAACTCAAGGCAGATGGCAATAACGCTACAATATAAAACAAATAACATTCCAAACCCAATAACACAAATTGAAGTTCCTGGGAGTAAGTCCCATTGAAATCAATAGGGCTAAAACTGCACTGCAGTGGCCAGTATTTCTGCAAATACGTGAATTAAAATGTCCTGTTTACAAGCTTTTTGTATAAAAACATTACCAGTGACTTCTTCTTTTTTCATTTTGCACCATCTAGTGGCAGCACAAAGGAAAACATTAGTGAAAGCAGCCATTAACTGTAAATTGTTAACGCTATACTGTGTAGTATTTATAAAGTTCCCTGTATTTGCCCTCTTGGGACCAGCGATCCAGTTCAGGGTAAGGATGCTACCAAATTTCCTTGCTTCTCTGGGCAATTGTTGATTTGGTTGGAAGCCTTTTAGACCAGGCATGGGCAGACTTGGCCCTCCAGATGTTTTGGGACTAAAACCCATCATCCCTAGCTAACAGGACCAGTGGTCAGGGATGATGGGAGTTGTAGTCCCAAAACACCTGGAGGGCTGAGTTTGCCTATGCCTGTTTTAGACCAGTCACCAGACTTTAAATAAGTCACCTTTGCATCACCAGAAAAGGGAACACAAATTTCCATCAAGTTTTCTTAACCCAAAGGTAAAGGTAAATGGACCACAGACCATTAGGTCCAGTCGTGGCCGACTCTGGGGTTGCGGCACTCATCTCGCTTTATTGGCCGAGGGAGCCGGCGTACAGCTTCCGGGTCATGTGGCCAGCATGACTAAGTCACTTCTGGCAAACCAGAGCAGCGCACGGAAACGCTGTTTACCTTCCCGCCAGAGCGGCACTTATTTATCTACTTGCACTTTGACGTGCTTTTGAACTGCTAGGTTGACAGGAGCTGGGACTGAGCACCAGGAGCTCACCCCGTCGCAGGGATTCGAACCGCCGACCTTCTGAACAGCAAGTCCTAGGCTCTGTGGTTTAACCCACAGCGCCACCCGTGTCTTAAACCATATATAGCTGCAAATTTAGAAATGGGCGATGTCTAGTGATGTGCAAGTGAAAGCATGTTTGTGCCAGGAATCGTTCCCTCGCCTCCTCACCTGTGCAGGCCAAAGTAACCCCCCTAAAAGCCTCTCCTGAGGGTTGGGGGGACTCTTGTGGGATGAGTTGGACATTGCTGCAAGGGAAGAGGGAGAACTGCTCTCAATTAAGCAGAGCAACCATGTTTCAGCAGAGTGCATGAGCTGTGTTTTGCATCAGGTTTTTCAAAGCCAGCTTCACTCGATGACTCAAAATCAGCTTGCATTTTGAGTACCCAGGGTGCATGCCCCACAACGGTCCCAAATAAATCGGGACATCTTGTTTTTTGAGTGCTGCAGCCCCGAAAGACATTCAGGGTACAATCTTTCACAGGTCACATGACTCATGTGGGAGAAGATGTGTCTCCTGGTTTTCCACTGTGACATGTTGGAGGGTATGAGTGTAAAGCAAAAAAGGTAAAGGAGCCCTGGACAGTTAAGGCCAGTCAAAGGCGACTATGGAATTGCAGCACTATGGAATCTTGCTTTCAGACCAAGGGAATCGGCGTTTGCCCACAGACAGCTTTCTGGGTCATGTGGCCAGCATGGCTAAACCATTTCTGGCACAACAGAACACCGTGACAGAAACCAGAGCGCATGGAAGCACTGTTTACCTTCCTGCTGCAGTGGTACCTATTTATCTGCTTGCACTTGTGTGCTTTCAAACTGCTAGGTTGGCAGGAGCTGGGACAGAGCAACAGGAGATCACCCTGTTGTGCAGATTCGAACCGCCGACCTTCCGATCGGCAAGCCCAAGAGACTCAGTGGTTTAGACCACAGCGCCACCCGCGTATAATTGAAACACACCAGGGATGGCCCCAAATCTGACGTCATCAGGGTATGTGTGTAATCCCACTTCCTACCTGTAATTTGGGATCCTCGTGCAGCCTCTGTTTCACAGACTTGCAGATAAACAAAATACAGCACTCTTTGGCAGCTAACTTTTGGGGGAAAGTTGACCCAGGAGAGGAGAAAGGCATGGGGAGCGTGGAATCAAACGTTAAGGTGATTTGGTATCCTTTTATTCAATTTGTTAACAAAAGTCACTCAACTGGTGTGAGGTTCTACCATCCCCGGACATCCCAGCCACAGCAGAGGCCCCCCTTTTTCTTTCCTTTCTTCCACTGTTGTAAAGAATGACACTGCCGCTGTAAATTTATTGTTCTATTTATTGAAAATGACATTAATATATATATCTAAAAACACACTCTTTCTCCCAACCCCTTTACAAAACAGCTCACCAGCGACTTCAGTTCCATCAGCTGTGTTAAAACATTCCCCCTCCCTCTTTAAAAATTTGCCCCTCCTCAATTGAGCCCAAGCAAGTAATGGGGTCTGTGATGGTTTGGCAGGGAGCGCAAAGCCAGCTCAGCTGCTACACCCCGATTTAAAAGACTGCACTTGAACCACTGAGCATCTTTTGAGCTGAATAACAGCAGACAGACTTACGGATGCGTCACAGCACTCTCCTAATCATACGTTTATAGCTTCAGTATTGTTTGAACATTTACGGAAGGCTTAGATTGTATGGCATACACTTATGTTTGCATTGCTGTTTCCATAAAACGTGGAACTACTTTTTTTTATGAAAGGTGGACCAGGAGATTTACAAGGTTTGCTTTCTCACCTAGCAAGCGGGTCAGTCCACATCCTTCAGAGCAGGACGCAAACAGTCCAGTCTAAACTTAAAGTGGGGAACTGTACAAAAATGGGCCATTTGCCATCCAGAGGCCCGTTGAAATATTCTGTACTGGGGCTCCACAATGTACGTGCTTCATAAGTAGACCAACCTTTGGATGCTCATGTGAATTAGCTCCTAACATCACCTTTACCTCCACACAATTCGATTTCAGCTAGCTAACTAGCCCAGCACACATTTCAGTTACAACTTCTGTCCTGTTGCAATCTACTTTTTAAGTATTAGAAGCTTTTTCTTTCGTCAGGACACTCTGAAACCCCCGCAGGAACCAGTTCATAAGTTGAGACCAACAGGAGAAAGAAAAAGAGACACTAATCTTCCTTTGAATACAAGTACCCAGTGCTAGTCTAACCGTGAAGTGGCATAACAGCAGTCAGGGCCTGCTTGTGACATTTTGGCACCTGAGGCAACCCCCCAAAATGGCACCCTGCTCCTCACTAGGGAAGAAGGGGTCAGTGAAGATCTACATCAGGAATGAGGAGGGGAGCGGAGATTGGCATTGGGATTTCCTCTGTGAACCCTGCTGCCTGAAGCAGTCGCCTCACCTTACCTCATGTGCGGGCCGGCCCTGACATCCGTGGTCCAGAATCTCCCACTCCTGGCCACTCCTGGGAGGCAGGGACGTACGAAGTGGGGGGCGGAGGGGATGGGCCACCTTGGGTGCCACTCAGGGGGTGACAAGATGGCCCCTGCCTTCCACCAGCTGTAGAGCGGCCGATGGCACACACAGTCCGTATAGGCGCTGCTTGCGTGCTGTCCATACAGGCTCCTGCACATGGGACTCCATATGGGCTGCCACACATGTGCAGTCCGTACGGGATGCCATTTGTGCGACAGCCTGTACGGACGCCATGCAAGAGGCAGCCCGTACGGAGTGCGCATGTGCGGCATCCTGTATGATCACCACACATGCGCAGTATGTATAGGATGCCACACATGCGCAGTACGTACGAGCTGCTGCACATGTGCACTCCGGTCGCTGTGCAAGCGGCAGCCCATATGGACACTGTGCAAGCGCCAGCCCATACAGCCATGGAGCATGAGTGGCAGCCCGTGCGGCCACCGCGCATGCACACTCTGTACGGGATGCCACACATGCACACATGGGCTGCCCCACCCCGGGTGCTGGAGAGGGTTCCTCCGCCATTGCTGGGAGGAGGGAGAGAGAAAGTTTGTGCGTGCATCAGCTGCAGCTGGAGCAGAAAAAGGATGAGCTGGTTCAAGGGGCAAGTGCTTTGCAAGGAAGAAGAAATAATAATAGGAAAGCATGTTTTCGCCTGCTGCAACTGTGATTGGCAAAAAATACGTTCCTCCTTAAAAACTGGCTGCAGAAGGACTCACGTGCCTAACTTGGGTTTTGTTTCAGCATTAAGATCCTTGGCCCATCACTCTGCAAGAAACACGCTGTGCTCAACTCCTGGCTGCAGTTACCGGGGCGACAATAAGGCCAGTGCTCATCCAAGCATCTTGGCCCATGAATTTTGCAAACAGTTTGTTCAGCAAGAAGAACGTAGAAACATGACCACAGGCAAGCAAATACATCAAGCTGAGGAACAAGAAGTTTTAGTGCTTGCAGAGGTTCTAAGAAACCCTTATACTAATAAAAGAAACCCATGTTGAGCTGTTACATTTCTCCCCCAGGGACTAATATTACAATGGGGTGGCAATGCTTGAAGAAAGATTTCAGGGAACTCCACAGGAACTGAACTGGGTCATTTACGGAACCAGATGGAAATCGCATTGCATCTTAAAAGTACTTTTCCTTTCCCAAAAGAAAAAAGAGACACCCAGCAGGGTAATATTGTTCGCTGCCGATTTCCACGCTTCGCTTTTAAGGAACTTTTAACATATTAAATATTCCCCCCCTTTTGGAAATCGTCATCAGTTTTGTGTTTTCAATCAGCCCGCTCGGCGGAGCTTTCTATAGAAAGTGTTGTTATCCTGAGGACAGTTGCCATGGCAAACACAGTTCGTGACGGACATCACAGGGTGCCTGATGATGTTGCCTTCAGGACAGCGGAAATCCACGTGGATGGTTTTCGTGGCCCGGGGGGTGCAACAGCGTCCGTCACTGCAGATGCCACAATAACGGGGTTTATACAGGTGGATGCTGGTGCAGTTGTCGTACTTCAAGTGGACAGGTGTCGGAGACTTCTTGGTGCGGATGCACCTCTTCCCCTTCTAATAGGGAGAAGAAGACATGACACAACAGACATGCAAAAGTGAATAGTGACCTAGCACCGCCATGTCTGAAAGAAGCTTTGAGGGAGTGAAGCAGCGTCTCCACCCCCATTGTTCACCCCGGACACTGAGGTCCACCTCCAAGGGCCTTCTGGCGGTTCCAGGCAAGGTTACAGGGAACCAGGCAGAGGGCCTTCTCGGTAGTGGTGCCCGCCCTGTGGAACTCCCTCCCATCAGATGTCAAGAAAATAAACAACTACAGTCATTCCTCGGGTTGAATGTGCTTCAGGATGAGCGTGTTCAAGTTGCGCTCCGCGGCAACCCGGAAGTAACGGAGCGTGCTACTTCTGGGTTTTGCCACTTGCGCATGCGCAGAAGCACCGATACGTGACCCACGCACGCGCAGACATGGGTTACATTTGCTTTTAGATGCGAACGGGGCTCCAGAACGGATTCCGTTCGCATCTAGAGGTACCACTGTATCTGACTTTTAGGAGACATGTGAAGGCAGCCCTGTTTAGGGAAGTTTTTAATGTTTGATGTTTTATTGTGTTTTAAATATTCTGTCGGGAGCCGCCCAGAGTGGCTGGGGAAACCTAGCCAGATGAGCAGGGTATAAATATTATTATTATTATTATTATTATTATTATTATTATTATTATTAGACTACCAACAGCAGTGAGGTAAAATCAAGGATCGCCTTGCTCTAGGCATGCAATGAGCATTAGAAGCACAAAAAAAAAAGTACTTATTTCACTGAATGCCCCTGCTTGATTGGCTGTGGGGGGAGAAGAGGCAGGCAAAATCGACTTTGAACAGATCTGCCACTAGCAACACCTTGGGAGGAAAGGCCTCGTTTTTGAGAAAGGCAGCAGACAGCTCCTTTTGAGACAGGAGTGTTGTGCTCCTGCTTTCTAGACTGAAATTAGTAAGGCTACAATGGTGCAGCTTGAAGCAGAAATGATGCTTGAAGCTCGGGTGAAAGGTGGTATATAAATTTAATAAATAATAATAATGATATCACTAAGGGTCTCAGGAAAGGATGCCCACCTTTCTTCCCTCCAAAGCCAGTGTTTTATGGTGCTTGCCTTCTGGGAGAAGTAGCTAGTGCAAAAGGACCATGCAGCAGGCTGGCTGCACGCAGCGAGAGTCTGATCCGTACCTTATCTGGCAGGCGAGCGCTTTCGCAAGGCCGCACCTCACAGAGCCTGGTCTGCTTCACCATCTCGCACGCTGCGTTCTTGTTGGTGACCCGAGTGGAGAAGCCCATTCCGCAGCTCGTGGAGCACGCACTCCACTCTGTCGTCTGCTCAATGCAGTTGGAACTCGAATCGGATGCGTCGATCCCAAGGGTGGCTTCTTGTCTGTATGCTAAAGGGCAGGTGGTGGTTAAAAAAACAAACAAACCTGGGTTACTGTCAGGCTTCAGGGAATTGGCTTCCTCCTCCATGGTGAAGGGCAGGAAATAAATTGAATATTACACTGGGCAACAATTTTTTACTTTTTGAATGTTGTCTAGATTTCTACAATTGATTTAGGGTATTTTTGCCCTGCTGAATCAGGAAATGGCATCTGTTTCTCTCCATCAGGTCAGGTTTTGGTGCTATGTTGATTTGAAAAAAATCAGATCTTGTGACAAAATCGATTACATTTTTGTGGCATTATCAGCTGATTTTTGTCAACACATATCATCCTAAATATGTTTTTAAGAGGAAAAAATGTTTTTCCAACAACATATATTGATCACCTGATAGAAACATTGATTACTGTAAACTTAATGGTGGGCATTGATAAAGGTAAGTACACGTAAATTGCATGTTGCTTCACCATTTTTCAAACTTCAGGGCTTGAACTTCCGTTTCTTGGAACTCCTGGAATGCTCAGCGGCAGGGAGGTCTCTCTTCAGAGTCCAACAGTAGTCAGCCATCATGACTGCGTCCCAGCGACCCTGATACCTGGTCTCCATCTCTTTCATGTCCTGATGGAATCTCTCCCCCGCTCGTCACTCATTGAACCCAGGTTCTCAGGAAACCGGTCCATATGTGAAAATAGGTAGTGCATCTTGACGCTCATGTTGCAGCCCAGGTTTCTGAAAGCAGTCAGCATGTTGTTGACAAGTTCTGCGTAGTTTCTGGCCTTATTGTTGCCAAGAAAGTTCTTCACTACCAGAACAAATGCCTTCCACGCTTCCAGTTCCACTTTGTTCATTGAGTTTCCGAACTCTGGATCTCTGATGAGCTGACAGATCTGAGGACCGTCAAAGATGCCAGCTTTCAACTTCTCCATGGTCAATCCTGGAAAAGCCTGGCACAAGTAAGTGAAGCAGTCACCATCCTTGTCCAGAGCCTTGGTGAACTGCTTGATTAAGCCGAGCTTGATGTGCAGCGGTGGGAAGAGTATTCTGTCTCTGTCCACCAGAGGGTCGTTGATGACGTTCCTTTCTTTGCAAGGCACCAATTCCTCCCGCACAGGCCAGTCCTTCTTCGTGTAATGCTGAGCACGGTCCCTACTATCCCACATGCACAGAAAACATGGGTACTTGGTGAAGCCAGACTGTTGTCCCAACAAAAAGTTCACCATCTTCAGGTCAACACAAATAAACCACTTATGCTGATCATAACCAATTTTCTCCAGCACATACTTCACCGCTTCATAGTTCTCCTTCAGTGTAGTCGAGTGAGCCAGGGGTATAGAGGCAAACTGGTTGCCGTTGTGTAGCAGAACACATTTCAGGGGTCGCTTGCTGCTGTCAATAAAAAGTCTCCAATCTTTGGGTTCGTACTGTGGCACTCCAAGCTTGAGCAGAAGCTGCGCGAAATCTGCACAGTACACCAAGTCCTTCTCTTCCGAGAAAAAACGGAGGTACTCTTGATGCCTGTTGCGGAAGAAGCTGATGCGAGCACTGTCAGAGAGGAGGTTTTTTTCCTTCAATCTGGATGCCAACAGTTTGGCAGAGTCCTTTGACAAGCTGAAGTCGCGAACTAGATCATTCAACTCCTTTTGGGAAAATGGATGTGGAGCATCATCTTCAAGAACCACTTCTTCTTCTTCATGTCCTTCAACACTGGAGGCATCTTCGTCACTAATGTCAGGAAGTTCTCCGAAGATAGGCACTGGAATTTCATCACAATGAGCTACAGGACAACGTGCTGATTGAAGATCAGGATACTTGAGGCTGCTCTGGTTCTTTCTGTTGATCCCAGTCACATCAACAGCGCAGAAGTAGCAGTCAGTGACATGGTTTGTCGGCTCCCTCCAAACCAGCGGCGTAGCGTGGGTTGTCAGCACCCGGGGCAAGGCAAGTAATTTGCGCCCCCTAACCCCAACCTGCCGCCGCTGCCAGCTTCTTCTTGCTGCTGCCTGGTCTGGTCTGGTGTGGTTCTCTCCCGCGCTCAGCGCTGCGCTGGGCGGCCGCTGCACTGTCCCTCCCCCAGATAGTCCCTCGCTCTCTCTCCGCACCGCACGCCTGGCACCCACCCCCTCCACAGTGGGCGGCGACCCAGCGGCTCGGTTCGGATTCGCACAGCCAGCACTGCAGTGAGAGAGAGTGAATGAGCCAGGTAGGGGCAGAGAGCTGCGAGTGCGAGCGCGCCCCCCCAGATGTTGCGCCCGGTGCGGCCGGCCCCCCCTGCACCCCCCACGCTACGCCACTGCTCCAAACCATGGGAATTCCAAAGTTCAGACTCCTCTTGCCATTGGTCCACCCACGTAGAGTCTCGGTGCATGCCTTGCACACCATGTGTGGCGCCCAAGCTTTATCCTGGTCACCAAGTTTAATACCAAAATAACTTTATGCTTTGCCGCACCAATTTATGGAAGATTTCGAGGTTTTATGACTTCAAACTGATCCCTTTTCAACATAATCACCCAGAACTATCAGACCTGAATACTTCTTGTCATTAAAATAATCATTTCCAAGCAAAACAATTATTCGACATGGCATTTTACCTCCACCAACTTCGCCTAAAATGCTCCACACAAGCGTACATGTGAACAAAAACGTAAAAAAACTACATGTGGCCATAGCTCAAAAACTTGACCTGATTGAGCAAAACCAATGTGATTTTTGGATTCAGCACATCAGATTCGTCCTAAATCAACTGAAAAAACACAGACAACAAATTTGTTGTTGACCAGTGTTATTAATTATTTACATTAATAGTGGTGAAATATACTCGGAGTCGAGTGTGGATTTCATGCTATTTATTTAGCTCATAGTACTGAGGAATGGAATTTCCCCCGAAATGTCTGCTTTATATACATTATTTACACAATGGGCCACACGTGATTTACTACAAAACTAATGAAGCTTATGCTTTAAGGCCCTAATCTGGAGCGGCCCAAGATGCAACTCTGGTCCATGTTGCTTTAAAAAAAAAAGGGTCTAGTAGACCCAATTTGAGTCACGTGACTTAAACTGATTATCTTCTTGTTGTGTATATTTCAACAATCCCGGAGTTTGAGTCAGTAGCACAGATTGTGTAAAGTGTTGCAGTAGGCTGACTAATGTCATTCCCCTGCCTTTTAAACAGAGATCAAGAAGAATAACAAGGAGTTTAGGGAAGTACTTGTGTGGACACCGAAAACATAAACTCCCGGAAAAATTGTGGCAGACGATCTGTCGTGAAACAACCGCATTGAAGGTGATAACAGTGGTTAACCCAGATCATTGCTGGTTGTGAAGGTGGACCCCATAACAGCTCAGGCTTCAAGGCCCCCCAAATGTAGGTCCACCATGGAGGAGTGGAGGTACACCTCTCAGCTTAACCCGCATCACAAGGTTGGCGCATAGCTGTCAATGTTTCCCTTTTTTAAAGGGAAATTCCCTTATACCGAATAGGATTCCTTGCAAGAAAAGGGAAAAGTTGACAGCTATGGGTTGGTGCAAGGGGAGAGTGTGCGTCGGAGGTGGGGAGAAAAGGCCCAGGCATTTCAGCTCCTTGGAGGAAAAGGTAGGAATAAAATAAACAGTTATCTCCACCTTCTGCATCTGTTTTTGTCAGGGCAACTACGCATGATGCTCACCTTTCAGCTTAGCCAGCCATATCTGCTGTGTAAACTTCCATCATGGGATTTCAGCTATGCTTGTTTATGGTTTGTCCAAACGTAATAGAACTTGATTTCTTTATGTCTAGGGCCATAAAGTAATTCCACTAAATAAAATTATTACTTGCCAATTTTTAAAACCCACGCACACTTATATAGGCAAACTCTTGCCCAATGATGAGAAAGGACTTCCAGAGGGTTTATTACACTGTCCCACTGACATCATGGCATGCTCTTTAAGCTGTAAAAAATGTAAACATTACTAAGGTTTTATGGGCAGGGGAATCAAGAGATAGGAAACCAACTGGATGTGACAACCGTGAGAAGTGACCTTGAGAAGGCTATGATGCCATAAGGCTTTTAAAAAGACACATTTGGACTTATGGCCTCCTTAAGGAGTCTGAGAAAGTTTTGTGTAAAGCTTTTTTGCTCCTCTGAAACCAATATAAAAGTATGTTTCCTCATTCTCCTGTACGTAGCGTGGTGTCCAAAAACACCATAGCCTCCCAGACCGACTTCTGAAAGCACAGGAGGATGTTTACTAAGTTATAAGGTACCTTAATCCATGGGGCAAGAGAACAGAACCTGTTATCTGCATAAGCAGCAGAGTGAAGTGGTAGAATCGACAGTGCCACTTCGAATTACAGATGGGGAAAACCGAATGCTCACCTAAATTGACTCCTCCATGTAACACCATTTAACACCGGTCCTAAAGGATCTTCACTGGCTCCCAGTGCGTTTCTGAGCACAATTCAAAGTGTTGGTGCTGACCTTGAAAGCCCTAAATGGCCGTGGCCCTGTATGCCTGAAGGAGCATCTCCACCCCCATTGTTCAGCCTGGACACTGAGGTCCTCCTCTGAGGATATTCTGCTAGTTCCCTCACTGCAAGAAGCGAAGTTACAGGGAACCAGGCAGAGGGCCTTCTTAGTAGTGGCTCCTGCCCTGTGGAACGTCCTCCTATCAGATGTCAAGGAAATAAACAACTATCTGACTTTTAGAAGACATCTGAAGGCAGCCCTGTATCGGGAAGCTTTTAATGTCTGTTGCTTTATTATTTTTTTATACATTCTGCAAGCCGCCCAGAGTGGCTGGGGAAACCCAGCCAGCTGGGCGGGATATAAATAATGAAATTATTATTATTAAATTATTATTAAGCAGAACACCAGGGGGGGATAAGGCTCGAATTTCTCCAAGGTGGGGAGCACTGTAATAGCAAGCGTAAGAGTGGCCCAATTGATGTGGGATGCCTTGCCAGGCACCGGGCCCCAACATTGTACTGTTTTAGGCAGATGGGAAAGATGCAGCTGTTTCAAAACTGCCTGCAGCAGATTATTTTTCTGGTTTGTTCTGATAACTTTTCTCCCGATGGTAGCTGGAGCAACCCAGTCAGATGGGCGGGATACAAGAAATTTATTATTACCATTGTCATTGTTATTGCAGTATTGTGGTTTTCATCTTTTAATTGGTTTTCTACTTCATGGGTGGGTTTGGAATGGGGGGTTAGTATATTTAAGATTGATGTGACATCCTGGTTCATCGGCTGCCCTTTGAGTTGATTTTGGAAAACTAGGAAAGAAACATTTCAAAGAAAACACCTTCTGTTAAGTTGAACCAGATGAACCAGAGAGCCAGTGTGGTGTAGTGGTTAAGAGCGGTAGTCTCGTAATCTGGGGAACCGGGTTCGCTTCTCCACTCCTCCACATGCAGCTGCTGGGTGACCTTGGGCCAGTCACACTTCTTTGAAGTCTCTCAGCCCCACTCACCTCACAGAGTGTTTGTTGTGGGGGAGGAAGGGAAAGGAGAATGTTAGCCGCTTTGAGACTCCTTAAAAGGGAGTGAAAGGCGGGGTATCAAATCCAAACTCTTCTAAGTTAAAAAGGTAAAGGACTCCTGACAGTTAAGTCCAGTCGCAGACAACTCTGGGGTTGCAGCGCTCATCTCGCTTTACAGGCCGAGGGAGCCGGCGTTTGTCCACAGACAGTTTTTCCGGGTCATGTGGCTAGCATGACTAAGCCACTTCTGGCACAACGGAACACCAAAACCAGATGAGCACACAGAAACGCCGTTTACCTTCCCGCCAGAGTGGTACCTATTTATCTACTTGCACTTTTGGGCGTGCTTTCAAACTGCTAGGTTGACAGGAGCTGGGACTGAGCAACGGGAGCTCACCCCGTCGTGGGGATTCGAACCACCGACCTTCTGATCGGCAAGCCCAAGAGCCTCAGTGGTTTAGACCACAGCACCACCCGCATCCCTTCTGTTAAGTTAGGCCATTGCAAAAGAACCCAGAAGAACTAGCTTTCGAACTCCCAGATGGCTCACCTGCCATTGCAAATCCTCCAACGTCCACATCTGCTTTGGGGTCGCATGACCACTGCTCACAGCACTCCTTGGGGACCTCGATTTTCCTTGGGAAGGGGCAGTCGGGTCCAGGAAGCAGCAAGTCGAGGCTGCAGAGGGGTATGCAGCTGATCTGCCCATCTTGGCAAGTACAGTGGTATTTGCAGCTCGGCTGGAACGTCTCGCCACTCTGGTAAATAATCCCATCGAACACGCAGTTGTCTCCTTCGAGGTCTGAAGCAAAGAAGGGAAACATTCCAGCTGCGTGAAGACCTAGCACACACCAGAGCATGCATATAGCTATGAAAGCAAACCCTGTGACACAGAGAGTCAGAAAAGAGTTTGTTTGGAAGGCTCGCAGGTCAACTACGGCAGACCTAGGTCTTCTCCAGCTGTGGGTGCAATGTGGTGATGTGGGTAGAATGCCAGACTAAGACCTGAGAGACCAGGGTTCAAATCCCCACTCAGATGTGAAGCAGTTTGGGTGACCTTGGACAAGTTGCTGTCTTATTTTTACAGTGAACCTGTGAGGCAGGGTTAGTCTAAAATGGAGACTAGGAAAACCACGTATGCCACCTTGAATTCCTTGGAAGAAAGGTGGGATATAGCTCAAATGAATAAATTCTTATTTGCATTCTTGGGAGTTTTAAAGTTTGCTCTTTGAGATCTTAATAGGGGCTGCAGTGTGTGTGTGTGTGTGTGTGTGTGTGTGTGTGTGTGTGTGTATGATTTATACGCCACTTTTTATCTTCAGAATCTCCCAAATGGAGTCTCCAGCTGTTTTTTGGACTACAGATCCCATCATCCCTGACCACTGGTCCTGCTAGCTAAGGATGATGGGATTGTAGTCCAAAAACAGCTGGAGACCCAAGTTTGGGAAACCCCGCAAGCAGCACAGAACAGAATAAACTAGGGGTTCCCCAAATTGTGGTCCATGGAGCTTCATTTACGTGCTTTGTGGCTGAAGACAGGAGATGGTGCGTGCATCTGTTGTATTAAATATTCATATTGATTTTAATTTTATTTTTCATTATGGTAATGCAGGAAATATAGCACATAATAAAAAAGCAATTAAAAGGAGATTTAAAAAATAATATCACATCTAACAATGAGCACTGCAATTGCTACAACAGGCAGAAAAATCATTAAATGGTTTGCCAAGACCTCCAGCAATTTCCTAGAGGTATGAGAGAGAGAAAAGTCTGAGGACCCCTAGAATTTGATACAAAACATCTCTTGGATGGGGAGGGGGCACCAAAGGGATTCTGGTACAAGTGTGATGTTAAAGCCACTCTCTGGAGCTCCAGCTGCCAGGTTTATGGGTACTATTTATTTACATATAAATTATTTCCACCCCTCTTTTTAGCTACAAGGGCTTGCAGATGATTTTTTTAAAAAGCAGCCCCTGCCCTCAGGGACTTGTGATCAAAAGGAAAAGCGAATGAGGAGGGAGAAGGGGGGGGAAGCAAACTCAAGACACCCAACCTTAAAATTACAAAAATATTCTCATGACAAAGTTGGAAACTGTTCAGGGAAAGAAGAAGTAGTGTTTGGATTTGACATCCCGCTTTATCACTACCCAAAGGAGTCTCAAAGCGGCTAACAATCTCCTTTCCATTCCTCCCCCACAACAAACACTCTGTGAGGTGAGTGGGACTGAGAGACTTCAACGAAGTGTGACTAGCCCAAGGTCACCCAGCAGCTGCATGTGGAGGAGCGGGGAATCGAACCTGGTTCACCAGATTGTGAGTCCACCACTCTTAACCACTACACCACACTGGCTCTCCAGTAGTGGCCCTGCTTCCTTTCTGTTCTACTTCCGGATCCCAACGAAATGGCTACTGCGAGGCGATCACTGAACAAAATCTCTAAAGACGTCTGGTTCCCCAGCAGAGCTGATGGAATAGCATTCTTCCCTTCTCTCCTCTGTGCAACCTTAGGGCAAATATTCCTATCCAAGAAGTCTTCTGCCAGGCAGTACCTGTTCCTCAGGGTGGGGCAACACATACAAGCTGGAAGGAATGCAATTCCCTTCTCATGTTTAGATAGCAAGACAGCTAAGAGATTGATTTCTTTTCTAAATTCTGCATCATCTCTTGCAAACATGAAAACATGAGAGCAAACCATCGCCTATGAGCATGTTCTCTGTCTTTGGTAACAAACACAACCAAAGTGTTCCCAAAATTAGACTGGTCATGTAACCAAATGGTTCCAGAGATGGTTTCAAGCCAGGTCGTTTTCTGATGCTGTTCCTTCCATTAAATGTCCTGCACTAAGTAGTATAACACTTTCTTTACCAAAGCATTTGAAATAAGAAAACCAATCCAACTCAGAAGCAGCTCTGCAAAATCAAGAAATCTGCATTTCCCTCCTAATTTGAGTTCAGTACAGATTTTAAGTATGCAATCAGTTTAGTTTAGTTTTTTAAAAAAAAATGAAATAAAATCCCTAAAATATGGCCCGGTTCACACAACTCTAAAACAGGGTTCATTATATTATGAGTTAGCATTATTTGTGAACGTTTGTCAGGATATAGCTTGCTTACTGCAAGTAAACCATGTCCTGAAGCCATGGTTTGTTATTATTGACTTAGAAACCTTGGTTTGTTTGGCCTCCCCATTCCAGTTGCTCATCAAGATACAAAGGCATGTACACTTGGAAAGCAAGCCCAACTTTTTTGGGGGGTGGGGATCCATGGTTTGTCTGATCATCTGTGGGACAACTCATGGTTTACTTGTGGTTTGTTAAACAAGCCACAGTTTAGTGTTATCTGTGAACCAGGCCAATACCTTCAAATATCTGTATTATTTCATCTGTGGTTATTCAGAATCCCTTCCCCATTGCTCCTTTTTATTCCTTTCAGTTCCTTGTTTTTCCCAGGATCTCCTTATCCTTTACACCCTCTGTTGTGCCATTGCTTCTGCCTCCATCCCCAGCGAACGCCAAGTTTTGAAGTTAAGGCTGCTAACTAGACTCATGTGTGCCTCCCTAGTTAGTAGAGTTCCAGTTGCAGATTGAAGCGTTTTTGCATGAAATTCTTGATCTCCAGACTGGAAACTGGGTCAACATTCCTCAAAACATGCAGCAAATACATGTTACAAACACAAGATACATTCCAGAGTTGTGAAGTCATCAAGTATTTGGAGCTGGGAAGGAATCTAGATTATGCACTGGGATGTCCACATCTGACTAGATCCTGCTCAGTTAAGGCATATCATACAAAGCTCAGCTGTGGACGCTTTTAAGTGGTATTAACGAAACCCATCAAGCCATCCCTGTGTGGCAAAATGGGGAAAGGAAGCCTTAGCAGGAAGTTGTTCTACTTTAAGAAGAAGAAAGATATAGGTTCTTGCACCAGCCTCCCAAGTAGTTGTACACAAACCACGCTCAGCTCCAGCCCCCATCTGACCATAAGGACGGCTGCTGCAAGAATAGATAGATAGATTACACGTATTCTACAGCTCCTCCAAGCAGCTCAGAGTGGCACCAATGACCTCACCAGTGCCCATTATGACTGGTAGGGTGGCAGGTAAGGAGGCCCACAGTAGGTGGCGCCAGAGCAAATGACAGACAGAACCAGCTGATTCTACTTTTGTCCCCAGCTGCCTCCTCTTTGCTGAGATCTACAAGGGCAACACTGAGATTAAAGAGGAAGTGGACAGCCAGGTTGTTGGTAGGGAGGCAGGAAAGTGGGGGTTGCCTGAGGTTGGTGGGGCAGAGTCCCACCCCACTTTCAGACCAGCCTCCACTGCTCCCCATCCATTCCATCCTCCTGAGTACTCTACAAGGCAGGTAAGGTAAGCCCAAGTTCACCAGGTGAACTTCTAAAGGGGGTCAAGGATTTGAATCTGGGTCTCCCTAACAAGGCACTCTGCAAATGCCAAGTGTTGCTGTTAACGTTATGAATTGTTCACCACTAAGCGCCTGTCTCCTTTGGCACCTGGTCACACCATTCGTTACACAAATACACCTTCCCTCATTAATGAGAGGAGATATGAGATCCATCCATCTTCAAAGATCTCAAGGGCTGTCACATGGAAGATGGAACAAGCTTCTTTTCTCCTGCTCCAGAGGGTAGGATTTGAATCGAGGGCTTCAACTTACAAGAAAGGAGATTCCAACTAAACATCAGGAAGAACTTTCTGAAGGTAAGAGATGTTAGACAGGGGGCAGTCTCCCACGGAAGGTTGTGGACTCTCCTTCCTTGGAGAATCCTCCAGAAAAACAATCTCTCAAAGGACCTGTTGATGGCATTTTAACATTGTACTGTTGAGAGTGTATTAACTTATGGTCTCTGTGTGTGGTTTGGGAGCTGTACGGTCAGGGGAAAAACAATGCTGTCCATTGTTGTAAAGACTGATCCCACCTTGGATCAAATCTATGCTTCCAGGTGCCATAAGGAAGCTGCATAGATAGTGCAGGATAGTGCACACCCCGGAAATGATCTCTTTCAGCTTCTGCCTTCTGGAAGAAGATACAGGGTTATAAAGACTAGGACTAGCCGTCTGAGAAACAGTTTTTATCCAAATGCGATTTTGGTTTTTAAGGTAGTCTCTGTGGGAGTATATTGTATTTAATTATGGGGTGTCAGAGTTTTTAGGGGGTTAACCAGGCTGGGATAGCAGGCTTGTTGGTTTTTGAATGTCTATTGTAGTTTTTTTTCCCAATTTCGTTGTTCTGTATGGGACAATGACAATAAAGATTATCACATCATAAAAGCAGATGTTGGATGACCATCTGCCATGGGTGCTTTAGCTGAGATTCCTTCATTGCAGGGGGTTGGACTAGATGACTCTTGGGGTCCCTTCTAATTCTACCATTCTATGATCTTCTACCATCAGAGGAAGGCAGAAAGCCCAGGTTTCATTCCCTGCCATCTCCAGGCAGGATTTGGGAGAGAACCCTATCCGAGAGCCACTGCCAGTCAGGGAAGACCATACAGCACCAATGGTCCTAGAATCAGAACTGTAGAGCTGGAAGGGACCCCATGGTCATCTAGTCCAACCCCAGGCCGCTACACCATCATTTTAGAAATTAAGTAGAGATGTATGGAAGTGAGAGCTGGACCATAAAGAAGGCTGATCGCAGAAGAATTGATGCTTTTGAATTATGGTGCTGGAGGAGACTCTTGAGAATCCCATGGACTGCAAGAAGATCAAACCTATCCATTCTGAAGGAAATCAGACCTGAGTGCTCACTGGAAGACCAGATCCTGAAGCTGAGGCTCCAATACTTTGGCCACCTCATGAGAAGAGAAGACACCCTGGAAAAGACCCTGATGTTGGGAAAGATGGAGGGCACAAGGAGAAGGGGACGACAGAGGACGAGATGGTTGGACAGTGTTCTCGAAGCTACCAGCATGAGTTTGACCAAACTGCGGGAGGCAGTGGAAGACAGGAGTGCCTGGCATGCTCTGGTCCATGGAGTCACGAAGAGTCGGACACGACTAAACGACTAAACAACAACAACAACAGTGGGGGAAGAACATAGAGAGATCGAGGGCGGGAGGAGGACCTGTCCCCCACCCCAAAAACCTGCCACTTACCCACGCAGACCCCCAAGCCAGCCTCGCTCCCTGCGTCCCGGTAACAGTGGAGGGCGCTGCTCTCATCGCAGGGCATCAGCCGCGAGCAGCTCTCCCCGCGCTGCCGAGCGCACGTCGGGCAACAAGAGCAGCCGTCTAGCAACGTCGGTACGCCGGGGGCGCAAGCGGGCGGCTCGGCGGGGCAATCGCACGGCAGCCGGCACTCGGGCTCCTCGTGGCCGCGCACCTGGAAGGGAGGGGCGGGGAAGGAGAGAGATACAAGCACCGTCAGCAAAGGCCCTTCGTCCCGCGGGTCGCACGTCGAGCGAGCGGAGGGACTGCGCTGCTGCTGCGCGCAAGCAAGCAAGCCGCATTCACCTTGCACAGGAGGAGGAGGAAGAAGAGGAAGGGGAGGAAGGCGTGGCGCAGGGCGATCCTGACTCCCCGCGACGGCGCCGCGCACTCCGGCTCCGCGCTGCGCTCCGCATCCCCCATCGCCATGGATGCGCATCGCCACACGCGCGCATCCGTCGGGGCAGGTTATATACAGCGCCTCGGCGCTCCTCGCCCTGCCATTGGACGGTGCCGGGGCGACTTGGGTCCAATCCCAGGTCTTGGTGTCAAGTTCGGGGGAGAGGAGGGGTGGGAGGTGATCAGTAAATGATCAGCAGAGGTTCTGCTCTCCCGTGTAACTGTGGAAACGCGCGTGGTACCTGGGATCAGGGAATCGACGCCTCTAATTTTTCGAAAGGGAACTCGTCCTTTCTTAGGGAAGGGGGAGGCGGCGGAGTAGTTCCTGAAAACTAAAGTGAAAGTACACTGTGGCTAAGACGTTGGGTTTGAAGATCTAGGAAATCCAGAGGATGGGAGATGTTCCTGCTTGGTTAATAAAATGGCCAAGCTGATCTACACACTGTTGGCCCAAGAGGGGAAAGGAAAAACACACAACCAGAAAATAATAATAATTTATTATTTATACCCTGCCCATCTGGCTGGGCTTCCCCAGCCACTCTGGGCAGCTACTGACAGAATATTAAAACACAATAAAGCACCAAACATTAAAAACTTCCCTAAACAGAGCTACCTTCAAATGTCTTCTAAAAGTCAGATAGTTGTTTATTTCCTTGACATCTGATGGGAGGGCATTCCACAGGGCGGGTGCCACTACCGAGAAGGCCCTCTGCCTGGTTCCTTGTAACCTCACTCCTTGCAGTGAGGGAGCCGCCAGAAGGCCCTTGGAGCTGGACCTCAGTGTCTGGGCTGAACAATGGGGGTGGAGACGCTCCTTCAGGTATACTGGGCCGAGGCCGTTTAGGGCTTTAAAGGTCTGCACCAACACTTTGAATTGTGCTCGGAAATGTACTGGGAGCTAATGTAGGTCTTTCAGGACTGGTGTTATGTGGTCTCGGCGGCCACTCCAGAAACCCCCCAAACGGCACAGAAATGGCAGTCCTTGCAAACTCCACCGGTGCCAACCCTTCAGGAATCGAGCTCACGAGGGAGCCAAGGAACTTAGAATGGCAGGAGATTCTCCCAACAAGGGATGGGTAAATCTGTCAAGTTAAAGGCTTCTCTCGCTTTCTCATTTTTTCCAACGTAAATTTCAGTTCTCCACAATTCCACATCAGTTTGGGGATTTTCTCCTTTCAAAGGTCCTCGTGAAAACCCTTCAGCATTTTTGCATGACTTTCTCCCCAAATACGTAACTTTGTATGCAGTTTTGCCTAATGAACACATTTCTTTACAAAGCAATATAATGCATGTTTGTTTGTTATTTCCACCAATATATGCACATGGCCTCTTCATCACCCCACACAAAACAGAGCAGGTCTTTTGCAATCTGTGACTGTATTGGAACTGTTTTTAAGATTTTTTGTTTGTTTTATAATTTGGTTGTTTGCTGCCCTGAGATCCTTTGGGCGGAAGAGTAGGATAGAAATCTAATAAATAAATGTTAACATGCAAAATGATGCCCCAATCCACCAGCCCCAGAGCACAGCTAGCAATGACCAAATTCCTCTATGCTCCTCGCGCTCCTAGATATATATCATATTTAATGCACCATGCAATTTCCCCCAGGCTTTGAAGTTGCAATTTAAATCCTGCTGACTGTTTTGTGGGGGCGTTTTTTCATAGCTTATTTGGTTTCATGTTTTGCTTTGTAATTGTTTAAGCCTTTTGGTAAACCACTCCGACTGAAAGGAAGCATAAAAGTTTTCTAACAAATGAAACACTTGTTCAATATTGAGCTTAAGTGGATTCACATGTAATAATTAAGAAGAAAATGTTTGTGGACAGTAGGACTGAACTAGAATTATCCATTCATTTCACACACACACACACACACACACACACACACCTTCTTTCCTACAATAGTCCAAGATATCTTGTGGGCTTTCATAATGGTTCCAAAACCACAAAACAAAACAGTAGGTCTCCCTGAAATTTCTCAGAACATAATTTTCTATCTCTCCCCCCCCCCTCTTTCTTTCTTTGAAAATCTCCATTCTGGGAGGTGCTGTTGAAGTGCTGGAGACTTCTAGTCTTTCCCTGGAGAATATTCAATGAATGTTGTTGTTTAGTCGTGTCCGACTCTTTGTGACCCCATGGACCAGAGCACGCCAGGCACTCTTGTCTTCCACTGCCTCCCGCAGTTTGGTCAAACTCATGCTGGTAGTTATGAGAACACTGTCCAACCATCTCATCCTCTGTCGTCCCCTTCTCCTTCTGCCCTCAGTCTTTCCCAACATCAGGGTCTTTTCCAGGGAGTCTTCTCTTCTCATGAGGTGGCCAAAGTATTGGAGCCTCAGCTTCAGGATCTGTCCTTCCAGTGAGCACTCAGGGCTGATTTCCTTCAGAATGGATAGGTTTGATCTTCCATGAATAGGTTTACCTAATTTCACCCTCCATGAATTTTGGGTCCTGTTTTAATCTTGTTTCAGTTTATTTTAATATTGTCTTTGGAAGCAGTGGGGATGGCCCCTAATCCTTCCTGTACTCCCCTTTAACACAAGCCTTCCTTCATCTACCAGTAGGAATTAAAAATGGAGTTTCGTTCAGCATTAAGTGATCCAAGATTTCAAAGAGAATTTTCTGAAGGAAACAGTTGGAGATTTTCACCTCTCCCCACCAACAATATTCAGCAAAATGCCTCTCTGCTCCCTATGCACATACAGTTGGGCCACCCACCAATAGCATGTTCTACTACCTTTTTCACTAGTACAAGAATTAAGTGTTCTGCAGGGGGGGGTCCCCCCACTCTCCTCACCCTTTGCATGCCCCACACCCTCCCCAAAATCTGCTCCAGTTGGTTGGGGGAAACCCCAGAACAGATTTAGCGGGTCGAGAGGGGAATAACATTCCATCTTGCAAGAGGGTAATTCTCTTGCTGACATAGCCCTAGCCCTAGCACTACGGTGAATAAAACCCAAGAAGAATTTTGCAAGGCCATTTCTCTCAGCACGGAAACAAAAACCCAAACAGCTCTTCCACACCCATTTTCTGTTGAGCAGCCTCAGAACTTGTGAATGGCGCCAGGACTGCTAATCACAAGAAGTATTCCCCGCCCCCTTTAAAAACGGCCTTTTCTTAAAAGATTCCTCTTTGAGAAGAGGTGGAAATCACGCATCAGTCATTTGTGAGATTCCTGGCAATGGGAATCGAGATTCCAAGCCACAGCGTTGCCTTACCCAACCTAAACCCAGTCTAGATCCAGAAGTGAATATTTGCTTCCTTGACCTGCCTCCATCCATAACACATCTGAGCTAGTGGTGATAGTTCTGAATCAAGCCGTGCCAAAGGATTAGAGAGCAAAATCTCTCTAGCCTGTCTTAGGAAATAAATGTCTCGCACGCTGTAATTTATTGCTGGTCTAAATATGTGTTTCAGCACTTTTCAAGCTTTCTCGTCCTCATATTCTAAGAGGAAGAGGTGAAGGTGGACCCATATTCCAAAATGCCACAATATCAGGTATAAATCAGCATTTTAAAAGAGCTCTCTTGGTTCTGACAATAAATCAATTTATCCCAGGGATGGGGAACCTGCAGCTCTCCAGATGTTGCTGGACTACAGCTCTCCCCAATCCTGACCATCCTGACCGTGCTGGTGGCAGCAGATGAGACCTGTAGTCCATTAACATCTGGAGGGCCATAGGTTCTCCATCCCTGATTTATTCTAGGGCTATGTTTCCAGTAGACACCAGCCAGATGCTTTTGGAAAGCTTGTAAACAAAGCAAGAAGACCAACAGCCCTCCTTTGTTGTTTGTCCCGGTATCAGGTATTTAGAGATATACTGCCTCATAACATGGAGGTTTTGTTGAGCTATATCATCACATAGCAAACGTAGTTCTTCAGCTGCTCAAATGGCACCATCCATGCATATCAGAAGGGTAGGAGGAGCACCAAGTTTTGCAGAAGGAGAAGCAATATTTAAGGGCAGAAATGCTAAACTGGGGGTGATGACTGAGCATGCTCAGTGGGCACAAAATGCTGGCTGGTTATTGTAGAGCAGGGTGGGAAACTGGGGGTGGGAAAGGGCATAGCTGGCTGGCTAGAACCCTGACAGGAGAATTCAAGGCGGCAGCATTTTGTTGTAGGTCCCACTTGAGATGGTTTGTAGTGTGGGGAATATGCAGTCAAATCTAACAGTGCGCATTCATGCTAGTTAGTATGTGAAGGGGTTAAGACCCACAGAGTTCTAAATTACTAGAGTAGACTCTATGATGTCACATCCCCTCTTCTTCAAGGAGGGAGGAAGTATTATTTCTCCCCCCCTCTCTCCTTCAAACTAAAGAAGCTGAGCAGACTTCATGAGGCAGAAGCTCCTGTGCCCAGACTCCATGGTTGAAGATATCTTTTGCATTTTGCAACCAAGAATACCTTGCCTGTGTTGTTTCTGCTGTAGCATTGACGAATGCATGAGTGAGACCTTTGAGTACTGTGAGTAAAGCATTTTAACTTACTAAACATTGTAGTCTATTCACTCCAAGAGGGGCAGAGTTGAGGGAGCACATTTAAAGCACTTAATACTGAGACATTTAAAGGCCTAACAACCTATATTTTCTGCACTTTGCACACGCTGCATAGATCTGTTTTCGAAACTCCTCTGGGGGGCTGTCTTGGCTAAAGAGTGAGTCAAGGTCCACACTTTAAAAATAAAATCAGGCAGCCAACCGTTTTTTCTTTGCCGTTCCCCACACATGTGGGAGTTCAGGATTAATTGGAATCCCCCCGTTATTTCCCAACATAATGTAGACACTTCTTCACACATCACATTATTAAGCTATAGAATTCGTTCCCCTAGAAGGCTGTGCCAGCTACCAATTTAGATGGCTTTAAAAGAGGATTGGACGGATTTGTGGAGGAGAGGGCTATTCATGGCTACTTGAAGCCACTGCTCAAAGCCATTGTGCTTGGATCTTGTTTGGCCTGGTCCAGCAGGTTCTTTTTATGTTCTTATAAGTCAACTCAGGGGCTCATCTTCCAGCATCATAACTTTTGGAAAATGAGCATCATTTT